GGTGGTTAGGAGGTCATCTACTTCAACTTACCTGTGGTCCAAATTACCGTCCCGAAGCGCCGCGCAATCTTCTATTTACGTACGAAATAACTTACAAAAATCATTAAATGTGTTCTCTACCAGTTTTGGCAAATAAAAACTTTACAAAAAACATTACAAAGTCCGCCAATATATTGGACGGTCATGCCGCACGTTCATTGGTTAAAAAACATCCGCCAGATCTGTCCATATAGGGTCTCTCTTATCCTTACCGAACGGTGTAGATGGCAAATATTCATCATTTTGCAACGCTAGATTATATGGGCACAGAAGCTATTTTAAATTTTGAAACGGCAAATGTTATCTTGGTCTATCGTAGCTTCAAGAAACACCGAAGAGATAAAAATTCCCCTTTTCCTATTAGTTAAAATACGAATTTACATATATATTATATGAACTTAAAACTACAATAGATCCAAAGATCACCTACCAATACGAAAATCTCATCTCAACCATTAACTCAACAGAGTAGAGCAGGTTAAGCTAGCGAAATCAATTATTCAGCCATTCACATTATAAGTGTTGATAAATAACACCGTTTTTATCTAAATAAATTTAGACATTACTGCGGTCAAGTATTTGTCAATAGCTAACGGCATTGTCCTATTTATGTACGTGCTTTTAATGGAAGCCAAAAGCTTAGGCCGTAAATTATACTAGGCGCTAAAATGGTTCTTAGTAATTATTTGTGGTCATCTTTATTTCTAAAAACTGACCGTGAGCATATCCAACTAAAAATGAAATCACACATCTTTGCAGTTTATGTCGACCAATAAAATTGGATGTCAGCGTTTTCCTTCTGTTCCCTTTACTTTAGGTCACGACCCGAGCCGACGGAAAAGTGAGTAGCCCATGGTCCTCTCTGACAACGTCAGTCTATGGGCAGCCGATAAAATTCTCGGATGCACCCAGCTGCGCCACAATTATTCGATCAGCGGACGGACCCTGCAGTTGTCTGCCAAGACAGCCTGAGCTAGGCGC